TGGTCAGAGCTCCTGGTGTATCTCTTCATGCCCAGGTGAATTAGGGTAAGAAAGCAAGGCCCAAGCTATATTTTATACCAGTACTGTCAGGCAAATTAAAAAGATGAATATTCTAGTGAATCTAAAAAGACATTAGTAGTTCAGATTTTAGTAGCTTTGGGCTTGGATCATCAACCATGAAAAAGCTTTCTTTTTTAAATCATGCAAATTATTTTTTAATGTTTATTTATTTTGAGAGAGAAAGAGGCACAGAGAGAGGGAGAGAGAGAATCCCAAGTAAGCTCCATGTTGTTAGCACAGAGCCTGATATGCAGGGCTTAATCTCATGAACCGTGAGGCCATGGCTTTAGCTGAAATCAAGAGTTGGATTAACTGACTGAGACACCCAGGATCCCCTAGACAATGGAAGATTTTAAAGAACCTGTTTGTTGTCTCAGATAGACCTTTCTTGGCAGATACAGGGAAGAACATAGGTCAATTGCACACAAGGAAAATAACCATAGCCAACCTGAAAGATGGATATTCATAAACCAGGAATGGTTTCTTAATCAAAGCTCAAAGAACAACATGATATCAAGGGCAAAACTACAGAAAGTACTGGGCTCCACCAACTACAGCTATGGCTGCAACTCAAGCGACAGAGTACAAGAGTACAGAGTACAAAGAGCTATCCCACATGGAAACTATTCTAAAAAAGGAAAAACAGGTATATGAGGTATTGATAGAGTATCTAGCATATAAAAGAATGAATTATTCTTGAACCTCACATGACAAATGCAAAAACGTCCCAGCTGTTTTCTCTCTTTAGTTAAAAAAAAAATCTGACAGTTTCCCCACATACTAGGAGCTATTATAGGTACTAGATACAAAGATTGATGACAACAAGTCCCTGCCCTCATGAAGCTTAGAATTTTGGAAGTTAGGTGTACTCACAATACACATGCATCCATGTTATGACTTGTAAGCTGACAATAGTGTCACCTTCTACTTGATTTTTAGGAACCAGGGCTCTTATTTCCTCCTTTGCCTGATAGTCCACTCTATAAACTCCTTGATAACCCCATTCCTCCAACACTGGCCTTACCTCTGCCACCCCTCCCAAGAACTCTACATGTAGCAGACTTTATTGGCTCCCAACTATGTCTGATAGCATCTCTCCACTGGCCTCCTCCCATATTCTCCAACCCCATCTCTCTGCCCTGCTTACCTACCTGCACGCCCATTCCTCTAACTGTTCTTCCCTGATCTCACCAAATGCTTGTGCTCTGAGGTCTGGGCTCTCCGAACCTCATAAGGGGAAGGAGGACACCAAGTTCATAATCAGAAGACTACTTGGAGGGCTGGAAATTGGTGGCCTTTTAAAGGTTGAAGTCATTGAGGAGCCTACCCTTATGGTCAGGATGAGGTTGACCCCAAACAGTCAACTGGGTACCCTCTTTCTGGACAGTTTTGGAGAAACAAAGAAAATGTTTTGTGCTCTTGCTCTAGGCTCCATCTTTCTTCTCTCCACAATTTCTTAGCTTGCTTTTACTTTCAGTAATGCTTTGGTTATATTAGTTCTTCATCTCAACTTCTTGTTCTTAGATTGTTCTTGTTTTACAGCATAGCCTAAGAATTCTGTGGAGGATTAACATTATCTAATAGTATAGATTTAACTTGTTATAAAGTGAGAGAAAGAGAGAGAGAGAGGAAGAGTGACAGAAAGAAAGAGATTTCATCTCTAAAAGATCTCATCCTTGTGGCCCCATCATTCAGATGATAATGGCAGAAAGTGCCTTTTGCTCTCCAAGGACTAGAGATATTTCTGATTGTCACAACTGAGGGAATGCTACTGACATATAGTAATAGAGACCAGGGGTATTCCTAAATAGCCTCCAATGCACAGGATAGCCCCACAAGCAAAAAAAAAAAAAAAAAAAAAAAAATCCAACCCCAAATATCAGCAGTGCTGAGGTTGAGAAAGTCTGGACCAAGGAAGACCAAGGAAGATTACATAATTCCTTTTCACTTGGGCAGAGGTTTATCTCAATTCTCTGAAAATATCAGTAACACTCCTAATGATTTGGTTGACTATAATGATTGAGCTTCTGCTTGTGGGCTTTTGCGTACTACTACCTTAATGTTCAGTTATTACTCACTAAATAACACCATTAACTGGTTGTCCTTCACCACATGTGTACAGACTCAGCTTAATAGACTACTCCTCTCTTGTGCACATGTGAAGGCTTTACTTAGTTGGAGTCATTACCAAAATTTGTGGTTTTGATTGTGTTGAGAGACAGGAAAATGACAAGAAGGAAAGTGGAAGTAAAAAACTTACATGGAATGAAATTCCTCTAGGCTTATGATGACTTAAAAATTTTATGAGAGAGAATGTAAATGAATAGTTTCTACTTCAGATGTGAAACTTGCCAGCTTCATCTAGGAGTCTCCTATCTTCCCTTCTTTCTATAATCAGGAACTATAAAGAATAAAAGAAGACAGGAAGGCACTTGGAAATGGGAAGGTCACCTGTTCAGCATGAAAACTGAACCTGAAAATCTCTGAAGTGTTGCTACGAAAATGAAAAGAGAGAAAACCAGGATGTGTGGCCAAATTGGATAAGACTTTCCCTTTTCCATTTCTTTAGCCCCAAACTTGCAAGATATGACAAACTGTTAATTATTGTGTGCTGATGAAGAGAAATAGGGTTAGGTTCTATGGTAGGATGGGGGAGTGCAGGCAGATAGTCTCCCCTCCCCCCTCACAAACGCACAAGAATATATTTTAAAAATCTGATTCTTCTGATTTCTGATGTTAATGGCCTCCTCTTTTCTCATTTAACCAAAAATAAAAACTTGCAATTGTGAAATGAATTCTGGGCATGTGGATCTTGTGGGGCCACACTGAATACAGGGCAGTGCACCCTTTTTGACTGTTAGGTGATAATCATTGCAGGTTCTGAGCCTAGGAGAGGTTGTAAGAAATGAATAAGAGAAAGGAAATATTCCAAATAGATTATAGAAGAAGGATTGGGTATGGATCTGCCATTTATGGGAAAATACCAACTTATGAACTGGTTGTGTTCTTCAAAGTTCATCTGACTCCCAGAACAACACATCAGTAAAGTAGAGGGAAAAAGAAGTAGTTCATTTATTGCTAGATAGTATCTTCAAAAATTCAGTCAAATGCTCTCATTTTAAGGAGAAATAAAATGTTCAGAAAAGTTGATTATCTTGCCCAAGATCACTCTGAGATTTAGGAACAAAGGTTGTTGTTGGGATTCCCCAGGCAGTCCGTTAACCATGCTTTGTTATTAATGAGCAGGAAGTCAGTAAAAATAGCGATTGTGAGGAGCAGAGGGATAGGAGTGACTTCCAAGTGACTAGAAGGTGGAGAGGAGAGGTGAAGGTGGTAGAGAAGGAAAACTCCAGAAGCAAGGGTTAGGAAGGATGATGCCTGATCTGGGTTCTATCCAACCTATGGGAGCCAGTTTGGGTGTACACTGAGTGGGGGTTTCCTACATGTGGGGTTCTGGTCCCTGCTATTGCCCAGAAGATATGGAATATAAGGAGAGAAATGGCTCAGATGGAATCTGGAAGTTCTTTTCAAAGTATCAGCATCCCTCAGAATATAACTGCTGTCTTCTCAGTCCCCTAGAATTCATTAATTTATTCAGCAAATATCTATGGAATCCCTATTTCGTGCCAGGTATTGTCTCAGGCCACATGACTATAGTAATGAATGACACCAAGTCCTTTTCATCTGGAAGCTGCTTTCTAGTGAGACAGATAAAATGTAAGAAAACAAATATGATAATGTCCAATTATGTTAAGTGCTGTGAAGAAAATAATATAAGGTAATATGACAGTGACTTGAAAGATCTACTTTAGATTGGGTGGTCAGGAAAAGCCTCTTTGAGAAGGTGACACTTAGGCTGAGACCAGAGCCAGCTTTGCAAAGAGCTAGGTCTGTGTAGGGGGCACAGTCCATATAGAGTGCAAGGTTCAGCCTGGCAAGTTCAAGAGGCACACAAAAAGCCAGTGTGGCTGTAACTTTGTGAGCAAGAAGGAGCAGCTTAAATGAGGTCATCAGGGGTGAGCCTGGCCATATTAGATTGATGCATATGTTCATTTAACAAACATTTAAGCACCTATTGTGTGCAGAGCATTGCTGAAGATATACCAATAAAACTGAGAAACCTCTACCTCAAGGATTTCATCCCCAGGGAAGAAAATTAAGAGTTTAGTAGGGGTGACAGAATTCTCAAAACAATTCTGCTACAGCTTAGAAAGTGTTCCACTCTAGACAGAATCATAATGCAGACATTACTACGTTGCATAGCAAGGACAGGGGCTTTCCAGAAGCAATTATATTAACACAACTATGCACCTACTACAGTCAGTTTACAATCTGAAGATGGGCACACACTAGTCGTCCAAAGCCACGGTAAGAGGTCTGAGATCCCGCCATCTGCTCCCCCAGGGTAGGGAGGTTAAGTCATCCCAGAGATGAGTCATTGAGCCCACCTTTTCCCACCGGGTGAGCCTTCTCGGTCTCCGTGGGTGGGGCAGGGCCATAGGAATCCCCCAACCCGGGCCTAAATCTGTCGCACTCAGAAAACCCAGGCAGGGGAGCCGCGAAGACCAAGGTTAGCACCTGATTCACCGAGGGAGTCGAGGCGGGGTGGTGACTACTGGTAACAGGCCCCCCGAGTCGCCCCAGGGGAAAAGGTCTGCGGGAGTTTTGGTGACCCGGATCTCGGGGGACCTGGCCTAGAGACGCGCTGCCGCCGGGTAGAGGCGGTGCCTGCGCGACCACCAGACCCCGCCCCCGCCCTTCAGTCTACCTCCCGGAACGCGCGCGCCGCAGCTGCCCCCGAGGCTTGCGCTGCGCGTGCGCTTTGGGTTTCGGCTCCCGCCGCCAAGGAGCTGTAGGCCGCGCGGGGCGGAGCGAGCGGTTGCTGCTGCCGGGAGCCAGACTACAAGTCCCAGGGAGCCGGTCCGGCCAGGGAGGGGCGCTGGGGCGCACAAGGGGCGTGCACTGGCAAAGCAAGACCATTTCCCGGCAAGGGCGCCAGTGCCTCTTCTCTGCTCGTCCGGGAAGTCCGGGTCGGACGAGCGGAAAGCCTTAGAGTCCAGGCCGGCTCCCTGGAGCAAACCCAGTGGCCTGGACCTCCCTGATTATTATTATTGTTGTTTATACTGCGAGCACGAAATTCTTCCCCAGGGCCTCCTCCCCCGCCCGCCCCACCTGCTCCTTCCTCCTCGTGTTGTAATATGCCTTTAGTGAGCCTGCGACCTCATTACCAAGGGTGCTAGAGTTCGCATTCAGCCACCATGGGGAATGGGATGAACAAGGTAACGTGTCTTTCTTTCATTTGTTCTGGTTTTGCTTACACTTTTCAGCCTTCCCCGAGGCTGGTGTTTGCTGGGCAAGGAGAGAGCCCTCGACGAGTGCCCTGCTCTCGCTCCGACCTGTCTGGCCAGGTTCTGTTCCACAGCGACTTTGACACCGGGAGCGCTTTCCCCTGGTGGGAGCGGGAGGGCGGGGCGGCGCGCCTGTCGTGGTGCTCGCGATGTTTTTGTTTTTGAGGTGCCCCCGTCTCCAGCTTCCTGCGGGCTTCTGGGTAAGCAGTCTTCCGCACCTACCCTGCCATTCTGTGTGCTCTGCGACTGAGAGCAAGCCGTGCTCTTTAAAAGCGTTGACACTTGTTCGGCGGAGACCTCAGCTGAGCTCAGAGGGGTTGTGGTTTCTTTTTCTCCCTTCCCCTTCTCTCCCAGAGTCGACTCTTGAAGCATCACCACCCACATTATTAGTAAACTAGAGTAGCTATTTAATTCCTGTTTCTCCCATATTCTTCTTCTTCTTTTTTTCTTCATGTGGACAAAGAAGTTGACAGAGACCTAAGTCCTGAGGTGTTACCTGGCAGGGGAGGGAGTTGTTGAGAAAACAGATTCAGATTTGGTTTATCCTGGATTAATATGGCTTCTGCAGCAAGGGCAACCTGTTTGGCTGTTTGTGCTGATTTTGCCTCACAGAAAATCCGTATTGGTCTCTTCTTTTTGTCTCTGTTTTGCCCCCCACCCTCTACTCTACAGTTTCCCCAGAACCCCCTTCTCAGGTTGTGTTTTTCCTGACAATGGAAGATACCAGGTTTTAGCCCTGTAGTTGAGAGTTGCCTGGGGTTCATGTCACCCACAAGGTTAAGGATTTTGTGATCTGGTACTACTGGTTTAAAGGAGAGACTTAGAAAACTTTTAAAAGTCCTCACCAAAGATAAGTACCTCTTCATAGGCCTTTAAATGATCTGCCTCCATTGTATTCCACACACCCACATCTCCACACAGACTCAGCTTTCATAGTTGGTGGGTATAACAATGTGGCTGTCTTTCTTTTCTTTTTTTTCTTTGTGCACTGGGGTCAGCAGTGGTTTGGTTCTTTCAGCTAGAGTGTGAAGTGGGATGGGGGAGTATTAGAACTCAAGGTTGGGAAGAAGAGTTCAGTCAGGCATAATCCTGTGTACGCAGTTAAGTTTTTTCATCTGCCTGTTTCATGTTTATTGTGTTCTGCAGACACAGTTTATGGAAGAACTACTGTATGATTTAGGCCTGCATATCTGAGGCTTTTGGTAACCAGAATTGTATTCCTTGTGTGTATGTATGTGTGTGTGTGAGTGTGTGTGTGTGTTGGGGGAGGGGGACAGTGATCAAGATTGGAAACAGACTATTTCTCTGTTGGGTAAATACTTGCATTATGTCTCCATTAGCACTGAAATCCATCAGCACCATGAGCCTTCTGCTTGTTAAATGAAAACAACAATAAAGGTGCTTCCTTAAATTTGTGGTCTCTTTTTGCCTTCCCACTAGTTGTAGTCATACCTTAGCTTTTCTTTAGTTCTTTCTAGTTTTTTTCCACTTGACTTCTTCACTCTCCGCCTTTTTCAGCATTTAATTTGTAGTATTTTAATATTATAAGTCAAAGAACATAATACCAATAATTGCCTGAATGTTCAAAATTAATTTAAGGCTTTTTAGCAAAAACAGTCATAGTCATGATTTTTATCTTTTGAAGAAGTAATACATTTCTTGTTGTTATTATCTTAACCATCTTGTATTGTAAACAGAGCCATTATATCTAACTTGCTGTGCTGTGCTAGTTGTAAGGGCAGAGGGAGAGTATAATGGTAAATGACACAAAGGTTTTTCATAGAACCTTTGGTATAGACCAGCAATTGAACCAACGGAGGTGTTTGCCTCCATTGTCACAAGTGAGTTTCCTATGAAATCCATGGACAGCTTGATTTCCACAAGGCAGGATGCTTTTGGAGGACACAGAGCAGTGAGGAAAAAAGAGGCAGTCAGCTTGGGCAGCTGGGTTCTGAATGAAGCACACCAACCCTGGCAGTCAGTCAGGGGTTAAGGTGTCAGAACCAGAGTGTCCTCACATCCTACCTATAATGGTAGTGCTTTCTTTATCCCACGTTTAGGTGAGTAATTCAGGTTGACCGAGATAAAAACATGCACTTGGAGAAGCATTTAGAGTGGATTTCTCTGACATACTGCTCAGTTAGAGAGACTAGATTTTTGTTTGTAATGAGACATTATAGTACTTAAAATTAATAAGACAGTATAGGAGTTTCCATCATAGGTCCTCACCCAAAAGAGTAGGAGGTTCAGACCTTTGAAAGAGCTTTGAATCAACTGGGAGTTTTCAAAGACTCTACAGAAACATGACATTTTCATGCAACAGGCTATTTAGTTTAACTCTAATCTCACTATAGATGTTTACTAGATTGATCTTTAGCATCTTAGTGAGGCACTCTGCATTGTAGCTATGAGCCAGACACCTGGCTTTGAGTCCAGGCTCTTCCACTTACCAGCTGGGTGACTTTGGGTAGGTGATTTATCCTCTGTGCACCTCATCTATAAAACAGGGATGAAAACAATAGCACTTCATGGGGTTATGGTGAAGATCAGATGAGTTGCTCTGTATGGTAAAGTCTCGAAATAGGGCCTGACACACCATAAACTCATTAGTGATTACAGTTTTGGCCAATTCAGAGAATCTATTTGGGAATCGTTTTAGTTGCCTGCCTTTCTCTCCTCCTTTTATGAATCTCAAACATGAAGGAAAAGAAAAGATGACTTTTCCTATTTTGCAATTAATTTGGAGCTCTGGGGAGCTTTATCAAGTTATTTTTCAGAGTCTTTAGAATTCACTCGGGATAAACTGCCATCCTAGCACAAAGAAAAGACCTCCACTAACTACCTTCACAATCAATGGAAACTAGGTTCCAAACCTAGCATTAGGAATTTAGTCATGTTACCTAATCTCTCTGATGGTCCTTTTCCCACAAAGAGGAAAAGACAGACCTCCCGGGGTTATAGTCAGGGTTAGATTTTATATGCTATAGGCACATGACATGAGGCTCAAAACTAATAGATCACAAATGCTGTGTTCTCTTTCTCTACATCCTCACATCTTTAACTGGCCAGAACACAGAAGCCTCATTCCCTTAAATTGCCTGTGTAATATGCTGTGTCCACCTAACTGAGACATGATGTTTACCACACAAGAGACAGGAATGTATTGATGAGAACATCTTCCATGAGGACATGGAATATAAATAAAAACGCTATTCTTGGAGCAGTCGTAAGAAAATCTACATTGTTTAGTTCCTAAGTTTTCTTTTGCTTTGCTCTCAGCACAGAGCCTGCTTGGATCCTCTGTCTCCCTCTTTCTCTGTCCCTCCTCCCGCTTGCATGCATGCACTCTCTCTTTCTCTCTCTCTTTCTCAAAATAAATAGATAAATATATTTTTAAAAGATTTTAAAAAATAAAATGTGGCTAACTGCAAATGAGATGTGATTTAAGTTTAAAATACACACCAGACAGTACAAAAATTGTAAACCATTCTATGAATAATTTTACATATTGGTTACAGAAATAAGTTTGTATGTTGTATATTATAAATATTATGAATATATATTCTGAATATATTTCAGTTAAGTAAAATATATTATAAAAATTGATTTCATCTGCTTCTTTTTACTTTTTATGTGACTACTAGAAAATTTTAAATAACGTGTGGCTCACATTGTATTTCCATTGGGCCACCACCGTGGTAAAAGACAGAGGGGTAGGGCTATCACAAAGCCTGATTTGGGGTATCTCTACCACTCTGCTGCTTCATGAGTGTGATCTTGAACAAGTCACTTACTGTTTCTGAGCTTCAATTTTTTTACCTCCTTCAATTCATAGAGACGGTGGTTAGCTTATCTAGTTTTATTTGCTCTAAAACAAATATGATGATACCTCCCCCAGATATTACCAAGATTCTTGAGAGAAGCAAATGAGAATTTATTAGAAGACATTCCTGCAAACTGTAAAGTACAAATATGCACTGCTATCAGTGTTCTTAGATTTGTCCCATTAATCGTTATAGTGATACCATTGGTTTAGGATAGCTGTGTTCTGCTTAGGAAGATAAGGGAGTATAGTTGAGAAAGGAGTTTAGTTCAAGGGGAAAAGATCAAAGACATGAATATGCCTCCTTAAGCATATGGCAGGGTTCCTCAACTTCTACACTATTAACATTTTGGACAGGATCAATTTTTGTTGTGGGGGCTGTCCTATGCATTGTAGGAGGTTTACCAACATTCCAGGCCTTCTACCCACTTGGTGCCAGTTGCCCCCTTCCCCCATTGTGACAACCAAAAATGTCTTCAGGTATTTCCAGGTGTCTCCTGGAGGGCAAAATCATCCCCCATTGAGAGCCACTGGCCTAGGCTTCTCCACTCAGAGGAGAAGGTGTGTGTGACTTAGGACTAGATTGTTATCAAAAGGTGTAATAGGGCCTTAAAAGTTGAGAAGCTCTGTTTTTGTATAGTAAGGGGCTGGAAGGTTAGACATCCTTGTGCTATGAATGCCACTGTTTCCATGTGACAACACCTGACTTGGCCACCTTCATAATTTATTCATCTGTTCATCCCCCTGTTCATCATATTATATTATTGAACACTTGCTGTTGTCAAAGCACTGTGCTAGAGCCTGTACTGGGCTTCTTGTCAAAGACAAGAAGACCCTGCCACCTGACCCCAGGCAGCTTACAAGAGGAGTACCTCTGGAGGAGGTGAATATACCATGTACACAGCTGTACAGATAAAAACTGCTCTATGCTGGTAATCTCTGTCTTTGGTCCTCTGTACTACCTTCTAGATATTTTTTCTTTTCAACATTATATTTTTATTTTGTATTGAAGGAAAGATGCTTAAGGCAATGTTCTAAGTGCATACGAGAGTATTCTCAGTTTCTTCCTTTTGTAAATGCAAACTGGTTAAGTCCATGGCCAAATGGC